ACAAATGTACATATGGATATGTACAAATATGACAAATGTAAATGACTCAAGTAGCGTAGTGATAATGACTCATAAATATATTACAGGGTGTTAAGTTTCTCAATTGCAGTGCAGGGAACACATTGCATGACAAGCTTAGTAGCTTAGTACATGTACGTGTGTCACAAGCCAAAATATTGCTACCATGTGCTAATAATGTTGCATGTATGGTAAGTAATGTGAGTAATGTGAGTAATGTGCCAGCTACACACAATGCATGCACAATTACAGTTACTGTAGTAACGACGAAACTTCCACGTCATTCTCCATTCTTCAAAGCAAAGGCTCGGTTTGCGGCTTACACTGCAAGCACGAAAATCGCACCACAATATGCAAATTTATTTGCTGCGCACACAGAATATTTTAATGTTAAACAAAGCCAAGCCACTTCGTTCTATTTTTGTGAAAGGATACATAATCCACTTAAGTTGAATAAAAATTACATAGTTTAAATCTGTAGTCAGCTTTACATACATATACATATACTTATATAATATACTACTTGCAGTAATTTGTGAAATCGGCAGTAATCACAGGTCCATTCCCTTTCCATTTCATAATTATGCGCAAAATTTAATTAAATTATAAATGCAAAATAATATTGAATTTTTTTTTATTCTTAACTGCAATTCAATTTTAATTTCAGTGCACAAATTGCTTTTATTCCCTACACAAATTGTTTTCTTTTTCGTTCACTCCATCATTTCATTTCATTCCCTTTTGAGTGCCAACAGTGCAGAAATCTGTTTTTCTGACCGAACCTTGTTACTCGTCTGCCTTCTAAATCATTTGTGGGGCAAAATTGTCTAATAAATGATTGCATCCTTAGGGATTTCTTTCAATAAATTAAAAGGTGAAGAATGCAGTAGTTTAAGAAATGTAAAATAATAAAAAAAATACATAAATTTCACCACTATAAGGACTAGAAAAACACACTTAGGTCATTTTTAAATTGTGTTAAAATTTAAAAAAAAAATAAACGATTCTTTAAAAATTCTTGCAGAATTACTTATCTTTACTTATTTTTAACGAAAAGTAGACGAATTGATTGTTGCTAGATTTAATGTAAGAAGTGCATTGGAAGTAATTGATATACAATCGATTAACACATGTTCAAATAAATTATTAATTGTGCAGTGTGACATAAACTTCTCATGAAGATATGCAGATATTCTGCATGCAGACATGCAAGCATCTTTTCAAGTTAAATATGCATGTAAAGTATATTCTATCCGCATTCATGGTTTTTGAAAGCATTATTGATCTATGAAGTACTTTGTGAACTGGAAAAGGTAATTTTAATAAATAGTTATCAAGAATAAGCTTTAAATACATTTATACATTAGACACTCTAATGCATTTTATTATAACATTATGGAAAATACGTTTGGTGTCATGACTTTAGAAACAGAAGTTGCATTTGAGTACTTTAAAAGTGAATAAGGCTTTATCATTTAAGAAATTTGCCACTCCATTGATGTTAGTTACAAATATTTAAACTTCAAAACGTAATAAACATTTAAAGTGTGATATATTTAATTCAAAATAACACATGAAGGTGTATGCTAATACAGTTGTCGGTCTAAACAACAAACTAAAAATCTAGATATGATTAACATTACAGATTTGACAGCAAAAGTCTTTGGTTCCTAAGTTACTGCCTGCAGAATATCTAAACGAAAAACTAAAAATCGAGATATGATTGACATTACAGATTTGACAGCAAAAGTCTTTGGTTCATAAGTTACCGCCTGCAGAATATCTGTTAATGCATTTTAGTCCTGAAAAAGGAATGTACAGGACAAAATAATTGAGAAAATGCGTTTGAAGGAATGATTGCATTGATTGGTTATAGAATACTTATTATAGAACGATTCAGTCTGGTGTACTTGAACAATTGTTCTTTAGACAATTAACCGTTATATTTTCAAAGAGTGTTAACTGACAAACTACCTTTAATAAAATAGGATGTTAGCTTATTGCCTTTGTTATTAATGCTAAATGTTAGTAGTCATGTTGTCATACCGCGAATAAGAGAATACCGAATAACTACGCACAAAACACTCAACGCTAATCTGTTTTGCCACTTAATTTGTTGCTCACTTGACGGCTTTATTCCGTTTGCATTAATTTCTTTTTTGCTGACACTGTTGCTGTCGTCGCTGTCGCCATTCTCGTTAACTGCCACATTGATTCCCAGAATAATTATGCATTGTGGTTCACTTCTACACCATCTGTTACTTGGGTTAAAATTTTAGCCCTAGCTTAGGGGTTAAAGTGGCGCCCTCCATATTATCATGTCAAGTGTTATCGAAAAGGGTGGCATTGGTTTTTGTTTGGCGCTCCGTTGTGTTCGGTATTTTACAGGCGAGTATTTGAGACAATCGTATTAACAATTTTCTGAGATAGACAATTTCATTTCATGCATTTACGATTTTTTACTCTGTAGCATTTTTACATATTGCCTATTTAAAAAAAGTTTTTGTTTTGTTTTAAAGTTTAAATTAACGCCGTGTGCGAGTTCGTGTAAATTGAGGTAAAGTAAATTGAAATTTCCTAGGGATTTTTTGCACTGCACTTGTGTAAATGTTTATTTATTTATTTATTGCACTTATTTATTATTTTTGTTTAAAAGTTTTCAAATTTATTTATTTATTTATTAAACATCTTATAAAATTTTCACAGTGGTAACACCTAATTTACTTAAATTTTATGTAATTTACCCTACTCGAAATTCTAGTAAATACCAACATTCGCTGCCATACCGACATAATTTACTATTTCCCTCAATTTACCAATTACCATCAATTTGCTCGAATTCGCACACGGCCTAAGTATGAATTTTAAAATCTATTTCTTTTAATTATGATATGTTGTTTAAATTATTCAAATTATTTGTAATATTCTACTTAAACTTAACTTTTCTACTTTTTTAGAACACACAAAAGGAGCTCTTAATTATGCTTATGGTTAAAAAAATAAAGTTGTTGTTTTTTTATATTAACATATAATTAGTTCAGAATTATAAGCTTATAAAATTTTTTTTTAAATTAACATATTATTAGTTAAGAATTATATGTTTATATAAAAAAAAACTCAAAAGGCACTTAAAAGGCACGCATTCGCCCAACAAAAAAGTGCATAAATGCGACGGTAAGTGACCCAGTTTTTACGCACTTGCAGTTCTAAAGCGATTTCCGCAGCGACAGTCGCTTAATTAATTAAAAACTGGTTAAATGCCAAACTGCCAAACTCAAAAGACAAATATTTCCACATTCGACACCCGAAAAGCTTTTGGTTGTGAGTTCAGCACTGCGAGTTGAGGTGCAATTTCTGGTTTCTGCAACTTCTCTCTTTGGGGAAGGGAACTTTGTTGTTGTGAATGCGTGTGTTGGAGGCATGCAACGTTAGGAACATAAATGCAGTAGTCATTAAAATTCATATAAATGCTATTCACACACAGAATCGTTCAATTACTTTAAGCAGCAAAACTAGTTGCAGCCGTTGAACCATGAAAAATGTAAACAATAAAATTAAGTGAAGGCATTTCGCCATAGCTGAGGTGGGGTTCTATGGTATTGGCTCACCAAATTATTTAACCTTGGAGTATATTTTGGAACAGATGAATTTGTAAGGGATAATGAAAGTTTCTTCTAGACTGTTAAATTTGAATAAATTTTTTTATGTGAAAGTAACATGCTTTAATTTTATACAATGAAAAAATAGAGAAAACAGAAAAATAGATGGAAATAAATAAATATTCCTTTATATATATATTTTTCTCCCACGATATATTTTCAAAACTGTAAAGGGTTGTCCATTTCGTGATTATGATTTGGTAGCATATTATTATAAATATAATATATAATACATAATAAATATGATAATAAATTAATATTATAATAAATAAATATATTTATTCATACATATATTTTAAATATTTGGTGATGTGAATGGACTACAAAGATTTGTCACCTCTGAACTTTTTTTTTTGAGACTACGAAAACGATCGTGTGTATCGTAATTGACGGCTATGTATCGACAAGTCATCGAAAATTACCTTGAAAGTTTCTAGTACAGTAAAATGTATGGTAGATTGCATTTAAATGCAATTTCACATCTAATGACAAGGTCCAATATAAATATACTCTAATAAGTTGATCCAACTCTAAAAAAAATGTTTGTTTTATTTACATTTACTCTGCAACTATAAAATGGATAATCGTGTATAAAAAAGAGCTCCGAACTTGGCTTTCTTGGGTTGTCAAATCGTGTAGTTTTGTAGCTTTCTAGTTTTTTGTGTGTCATGTTCGCTTGACCTCTATTAGCTTGATCTCCTTAAATTTCAAAACATTTTGCATAATTGTAAAAGTTCCAATACTAATAACTAATTGTATTCCTTATACTTATAGGTAGCTTAGATATATCTAAGGTATCTTTTACAATTGGTACATACTATAAATATACTTGATCACAGCAAAAGCATTTACAGAAAATTTTGTAATTTTATGATAATAAAAAATAAAGTTTTGAATTTTAAAATAAATTCAGAAGTTTCCGTTTAAATATAAAGCACAACCCTAAAGTCACGCAACCCTAAAGTTCCGAATATCAGCAAAAGTTTATCGCGTTAACCACGGCTTGCAGCAGTACCACGCTATTTGTAGGCTTCGAAACACTGACAAAAAGTTTAGGCCAAAGTCTCTTTTAATAAAAACAAGCATTCAACAATTGTTGAATGCTGTCAATTGAAGAGAAAAAAGACAAAGTCAATAATAGGCAAAACCAAAAAGCAAAGCTCAGCTTTTGTTCGCTTGCAAGCCGTCCAGCCCAAAGGCTTTAAAAACGCCTAGCCTCACGGTCAGCGACAGGAGAACAAAATCAGTTTCCGACCACAATCGTACATAACACAACAGACACTCATAGATACAATTTCGTCTTGAATAGACTTGCAAAGAAGGCCGATAGTACAACTATGGAATTAAATTTGACAATTTGTGCATTTTGTGTATTGACCTTTTCGGTGACGGTACTAAACGGTTTTCCAAATGGCGCGCCAGCGGATGCGTGCGTGAAGAAACGCGTGAATCAGGTACAGTGAATAATATCGATTATGCCTTAAGCTATAACGAATTGTTTATTACGATTGTTTCAAAAATTATAAGTTTCAAAATGATTTCAACAGCCCCATCATGGTGAAGCACGCTCACAGCCTTTACATACAAATCCTTTTGAAGTGGTAGCCAGCGCACAATACTATCATCCTGGACAGGAAATTTCTGGTATGCTTTCGGAAGAATAGTGCTTTTAATTCGAGAATTTAATTATTTTTTGAACGCGTTTACTTTCAGTTGTAATTTATCCTCGTGATCAGAATAAACTTTTTCGCGGTTTCCTCATACAGGGCCGTGATGTGGAATCAAATGAATGGATTGGTGAATTTATACAAAGCGAAAATACAAATTCCATTCCAGAGTGCTCAGCTATAACACATTCAGATAATCGAGACAAATTGGGTGCTAAATTCATATGGAAAGCTCCGCAACATAAACGTGGTCGGGTTTACTTCACGTAAGTTTTTTATAGAATTTAAAAATTTTACCATATCATAAGGAATAGTAATAATTGTATTTATCACCTAACTTGGAGAGAAAATAGAACTCAAAATAAGTTACTTATTCGACTCTGTATAGTATGCCTTGATAAACGAAAAATATGTGCAGCTAATATAATATAAAAAAATCCGGTATAAAATTCTACTCGAATGTTCTACCAAGGTTTTTTCAGCTTTTCATCTGTCATCTGTCATTAGTGATCAGTCATCAGTCATCAGTGAAGTGAACACCTCAACTTCTTCAGCTTCTATATTGATAACTTAATGTAGCCTAACATTTGTTGTTTTTT